CCCCCCCCCCCCCCCCCCCGCGCCAAATTTGTTAAAGGTCGCACCTTAAAAAGGTTTAATCAGTTAAAATTTATCCGTGATATGGAAATTGCGCCGTGGTCTGTGTGTTCTGTTTTTGATGATCCTGATGACAGTTATTGGGCATGGGTGACCATATTCAAAGACGTTGAGACTGTGACAGGTACGCACCGAGAAGATAAGTGAAGATAAGAAGCCAGTCCCTTTCCTGGGTCACGCCTCAGATACGCCATCTGATGAATCTGCGGTATAAAACCCTGTTGGAAGCACAGGAGACCAAGAATGATGAACTCTGGACCCAATATCGAGGATTGAGAAATTGGGTTACAGAGGAAGTCAGAAGAGCGAAGTGCTCATACTACTCTGACCTGTTTGACCAGGTCAAGGACTTTAAATCCTATTGGAAGCTTATTAAAAAAGCAACCTGTTACAACCCCTGGACTCCTTTAATGGCCATCAGGAATCGTGAGGGAGTTCTGGTAACATCCGACCGAGGGAAACCAGACATCCTAAATGAACACTTTTCCACCACTGGCTAAAACCTTGCAAGGGAACTAACCATCTTCAATGTAGAGCTGAAAACGTACGCCACTATAGTAACACCCACTATCATGCACATGGAGATAACACCAGACATCATCCAAAAAGCATTGAAGAAACTGCAACCCGACATGGCGAGTGGTCCCGATGGAGTCACACCGGTCCCAGGTTGCTTAAGCTGGTAGGAAACGCTCTCCTCCCACCTCAAACGCATCATCCAAGAACCGTTCCTTTAATCCTAATGTCTTCTCATTATACAAGAGCAATGATGAAACAGATAAACTGAATTACCGCCCCATCTCACTTCTCTGTGTGCGTGGTAAGATCATGGGGTCTTGTATCGCCGCTACAGTTACATCACATATTCGTGAAAATGACCCGAGCAATCAATGAATGGGCGTACAAGAAAGGCCATTCAACTGAACGTCTGCTAATTGGGATTACTGAAGATTGGAGGCAAGCACTTGATAACAGTCTCTTAGTAGGTGTGGTATTTGAAGACTTTGAGAAGGCCTTTGATACCGTATCTCTTTCTCTCCTCTTACAAAAGGTACAAGGCCTATGGTCATGGATTAGAAACTACATGACATACCATTCTCAGGCAACAGTTGTTAATGGCTACAAATCAGAGAGGAAGTTTATGAAGTATGGGGCTCCTCAAGGATCGGTAGTGGGTCCTACACTATTTTCACTTTTCTTCATATAGCTGAAGGTGAAGGTGTCTTACAAATTTATGTGGAGGACACTTTATACACAACTGCAGCCTCGCTTGACAAGGAAGCAGAGAAGCTAAACACTATCCTGGAAAAGTTGTAAAATTATCGTGTTTCAGGGAAAGATGTTGTTGTTGTTGTTGTTGTTGAAAGCCATGCGCTGAAAAGTTCTTCCTCAAGCATACATGATCATTGAACCACAAACGGTGGTTTTTGGCTTCCTAAACGAGAGGGAAAGGCAAACGTATGGCCAAATCTGGTGCTCAGAATGGTCATGTGAGCCGACCAAAGGTTCAAATGCGAACAATCAAATTTGAAGGGTGCTAACAGTTTCAGCAACATATTAAATTTATATCAAGCCTGTACAAAGTAGTACGCAAATTAAAGTCTTAAAGCAAGGAACAATTTGCCATTTTTAACAGTTCATCCAAAGTTGTATCTCCAAAGTTAAATTATACACGTATGTTAAGGTGCTACAACACGAGACGTGTACTCTGGAGAAGGATGGTCATTCACGTATTTCTGCAAATATGTACATGTCAATTTGATCTTGGCATCTTCATTTACAGCATAATCCAGAGCTGCCTAAAGCAAAATAATAATGTTGATGTTATTAGTATAAGCCTTAAGTAAATGGGAAAGTGTTCCGTGAGTAATCTTTAAGAGGAGGGGTAACTTGCAAACTAAACTGAACACAGGGTGTCAGAACAGCAACAAGAAAATTTATTCCTGCCAAATAGGAATGTAGTTTCCAGCAAGTACAACTCTACAACTGCACGTAACTTGAGAAACTTACACGGTCTCCGCCAACTTGAATAAACACTGTTTCGGCCACACTTTACTAAACACGACTAACGTTTAACTCTTTTCACTTTTGAAAACTAGTTAAAACCTCGCTTGGACTCGTCTACTTATATACTTTCACAATAAAATTAGAACTTTGCAAATAGTCCAATTATAGAAAGATTACAAAATATACTGCTTTAGAAATGCTTATACAAGGTACTAAAATAAACAAACTATGAACNTAACTTGAGAAACTTACACGGTCTCCGCCAACTTGAATAAACACTGTTTCGGCCACACTTTACTAAACACGACTAACGTTTAACTCTTTTCACTTTTGAAAACTAGTTAAAACCTCGCTTGGACTCGTCTACTTATATACTTTCACAATAAAATTAGAACTTTGCAAATAGTCCAATTATAGAAAGATTACAAAATATACTGCTTTAGAAATGCTTATACAAGGTACTAAAATAAACAAACTATGAACTTTCAAGAAGCTTCTACAATGTCACACTACTCTCGCAAGACAATTTTTGGTGACAGAAAGTGACTGGCAAATGTTTTTAAAGGTGGAAAAATGTCATACTGTCTGCTTTTCCCTCAGAAATGAGAAAGGAAAAATAGCTTTACCATAATCTATAAAACTATTTCAAAACTCCTCTGAATAAAACGAGTCTGTCCCAAGGTTTCTACGATTACAGTCTGGAGCTTTAGAACACTACTTACTTTAGCCAACTGTCCAGCGATTCCACGTCCTCTCAATTCAGTTGGTACTTGGGTGTGATACATATTTATGGTATTGTGTCCTTCATTTTCATACAACAATACAGCCTTTCCTAAGATGAAAAATGCACAATTATCATTTAGAACATTTACATTATATTGTCAGTACCAACTTAACTTATGGTGAAAATGGTCAGAAATCTGTCTCGGGAGTTCTTTAGAGTATAAATGAGCTTTCTTCTCCACATTTAAATACCAAACTGCATAAGTGATGAAAGGAAATTTAGCAGAGCATTTTGCCATGTGCAGAACGTCATTGCTTTTTGCAACATGAAGGACTACTCTACTGTCTTTGCACTGTCTAGAAATATATTCAACTTCAGGTTGCTTTGATATTCCCTTGGGAAATTCATAGCCATCACAGAATTGCGCCTATTGAAACATATCAATACTAAAAGCAAAGTTTTCTATCAATCAAATGTCTCCTATTATTTGTAGGTTGACATTGGTGAAACATCTTGATTGTTTTGGAAGGGTGATTTGCATCTAAGTGTGAGTGAAGCAAAATAGATACTTATTGCAGTGATTGTAAATGAAACATTTCTTTGAAGTTTTTTTCCTTCTGAATGTCAAAAAATTCACATGAAAGAATGATGCTTTCATACAAATTAAATAAAATGAAATAAAAAAAAATAGAAAAGTCGTTCCTCGCTTACATTTTATACATTCCAATGGCTTAAATCCTTAAAATATTTTATAAAGTCAAAATAATTTACACTTTGAGTAACTGCAGTTCCTAATAAATCATATTGTCAGAAGACAAGGTATTGATTTGCTTTAGTTAAATTATCTTTGAATCATGGAAACAATAAGCTAACAATTCATTCAGAGAGACAAAGGACACAACATGCATCAGCATCCTTAGTGAGCACGCAAATAGTCATGGGACCCCCACCCCAATTTTACGGCTGACGCTTTTCGCTCGGCACCATTTCTCAATGAAATGCACTTTCCTCATGTGCGTTTCACATAAGACTTTAGAGGGTGTGAGAGAATGTTTGTAAAGGCAAAAGAACTGTTGAATTTGCAACCACTTAAAGCAAAGCTGTGCTTTAGCAGTGCCCGGTGGCCCCTGGCATCTAACTTTTGCTCCCAAGCAACTAGAAAATCTTAGTTTTCCTATAGAAATCATATACTGGGCATCCTGGATTTCACATGTTCAGAGCACTGGGCTCCCTTTATTTTTTCTTAGAGGAAAGCCTTGCTTAAAGACATAAGTTTGACTTAAAACCTAGTGGAAGGCTTCCATCAGGATGCTCATAATCAAATGCCCCCACCCCCCACTCCCTACCCTTTCCCCCACTACACCTCAAACCACCTCAAGAAAATCAAGACAGGGGCCATATTACCCTTTTAACAATTTTGATGTAGCTTTCTTGTGCTCTTGAATGCGAGTCTGCATACAGAGAAAAGCTTGTGTAATCCTTTATGGTAGGGTTGCTTGTTACATGATGCTGCTTTTTGGCTAGGGGGGAGAGTGCTGATTCGAGCTTTGATTTAACCGATACATGATTTTTTTGTGTCAGTTTTAAAACTATTAAAACCTCGATCTTAAATGTAAACACGGCAAACATAAAACATCTTTTAATACGGGCCCCTGGTTACGAGCAAACGAGCAAATTAACTAAAAAAACCCATATGCCGGTGAACCTGTCACCGTAAAAGAGAACAGATGGACAAACCTTTATCTAGGGCTATAAAAAATTCACGTCCTTTCACATTGTGTTTTACTTCGTAGGAACTCATCGCTATGTACGAAGAAAATCGACGAAAAAATTGCCTCATCTCATATCATCATCCGCAAACGTCCGCCATATTTGAAGTTACCCAGAAGTCTGTGAGGACAAACTGTTTTGAGATTCTTTGGATGACTTCCGGTTTCTCTCAAACAAAGGGAGGCCTGGTTACCTGAACGTGAAGACATGGCGGAAAAAGAACAGGGGAATCGCCGCATGCTGATACATTTTTCCTTCGTTTTCTAGGCTGTCATCGTTGAAATGCGAGGGAATCTCTCATCTAGTTTCTTAGTGACTTGTTATGCTCATTAAGCTGGCGGAATGGCGGCTTTTGATGTTTTTCTACCGGTATGTTTTTGTCTTGTTCACATTTGGCTGGTTAAGATACAGCGAAGGATTTCTCGGTAAAACAAGACTGAACTCTTCAAGTTTCTCACCATCATGGGCTATCCGAATACCTGTGGAACATTATTTGAACATAACAAAGCTTGATTTAATAGCAGATCATATCGCAAACGAGGCGGGCCTCGTAAACCGCGGCCAAATAGGTGGTCTTGTAGGACACTACCTGCTCATACATAATACTTTCTTCAATCAAAGCGGGATAAAAGAACTTGGTAAAATGCAAGATATTATAACGCAACATTTAGCAAATCATCCTAAAATTGAGTGGTCAAGGCAGGAAGTTGTACGGATGCGTCACAAGCGAAGCCTTCAGTTTAAAGACCAATATTTTCCTAGTCAGTGGCATTTGGTAAGAATTAGAGTCGCCCAATTCCTTATTATTAATTAATAATTTATTATTCTACTATCTTAAATTGAAACCAACTACAGTTCTCGTTGTATTGAACCTAACTTTTTTTTTGTAGACTTAACTTTGTTGTAAAATTAATTATTCTACAGAGTATTTTTAGTTCAAGTCTTTATATATGCCACAATATATTAACTGAGATGTGAGTCAAAGAGATAATAATATAATATGGTAAACAAAAGAAATTCATGACTTGAACCTGTAGCAGGATAAATTAAAGAAGACAGGACCACTTTTCATGAGGTGTAATGAAAAGATCTGGCAGTTTGACTTTGCAGTAACAATATGAAAAGTACGAGCAAATGATCAATCTGATTCTACATGTAATTTTGCTCCTTAAAATTGACCAAAATAAAGAACACAATATACAGGGTGGCAAAAAGGGTTTCCATGATGTGCAATGGATGCCAAGTTATCAGTGTGATGCCTTTTTGAGCCCAAATTAGCTGGGTGAGGCGTTATTGGGTACAGCAGGGTGGTGCCTTATTTACCATTTTCATAACAAGGGATGTGTGATTTTCCTTATGAATTTCCTGATTGGTGCATATCATGTGAAACTAGAGCACAGAATTTAGAAACAGATATTCATGACATCATTTTCTGGTCCTTTTTCTTGTCCCTCAAGCTCACCTGATTTCCTGTCAAAAATAAATCATTATAATTTATGACCTCTATTCTCAGATCATTGAATACTGGTTAACATAGTTAATATTTGAACAACATTATATTTCAGAGAACCCTTCTGTACAATTAAGCTTATTCAACTAACTGTTAACGCATGATCCTACCCAAAAAGGATACTGAAAACAATTTATAAGAGCTGATTCATTTAATGGGTTGAGCTATTACCATGTTAACTTACTGCAATAGGCCTTTTGCATTAGTCGAACACATGATCAACTTTTGGTAAACACAAAAACAGTTTGCTTTTAAAAAATTTAGTTAGCATGATCTGAAAGAGCTTAATATTTAAATTAGGTTGCAAGTAAATTGTCAGCCGTATATCTCAAAAGTAGCGATTGTAATGGCCACTTAAAATTAGAAGGTATTGTATGAGAAAAACAACTCTTGCCACCCAGTCATGCTTAAATGGTTTTCCACTCAACTCCTTGTGAATTCTGAAATTTTTAAACTGTCGTTAAATCTTTCCCTTACGCTTTTAAGGGCTCAAAGTGCCTGTTATGAGTTAAAAGGATTGATTTACAAGGATTTGTATGGAAAACCTTTAAAACGAGACTAGGTGGCAAAAGTTGTTTTTCTCGTATAAATCCTTCTAATTTTCGACGGCCATTGTAATCGCTAGTTTTGAAATATATGGCTGAAAAGTTACAGTTTACCTAATTTTAATATGCTCTTTCAGCTCAAGCTAACAAAATTAATTTTTTCAAAAGCAATCTGTTTTCGTGTTTACCAAATGTTGATCACATGATCAACTAATGCCTAAGGCCTATTGCACCTCATTTACATCTTGATTCAGCTGTAGCTAATTTTTTCCCTGTGGTGCATGATCGTTAAAAAAAAACAGCCAGTGTGATACATGACAGGTACCCTGCCCCCTTTGCCACTATGAATATATTATTTTAAAACCTTGTTGATATGATCGACCATCCTGTTATTTTGACTATCGTTTGGAGTTCCCAGTTCTACTTGTCTGTGCAGTTGTACCTTCATTAACATGACCTGCAAACTTCCTGTTGAGACAAAGTTATTGGAAAATGAGACAAACACTTACAAATAATTGACAAATATTTGTAAAGTATACATGTACATGTAAATAAGCATTCAGGAAAAGTTGTTATGTGCCAGATAGCCAGCAGAATGATAGTCTGAATACAATTTTATTTATTATTATATAGTTGTTTAGAATATTTTAGTACCATAACATGATGCAATTTCTTTTAGTATGACCACTTAAAAACCAAATTTTCATGACCCTTGGTAGCTGTATTAATGGGGTCACACTCTTCAATAGAACCAGCTTACATGTACAACTATGATTATTTATGAAACCACCTATTAGTAATTACTAACTGTTACTGTGATATGTTATTTAGTAATAATGGTCATTTTTCACGATAAAATTTTTCTAGAGGTGAAGTTCTTTTTTGTTGCAAACTGTAATGCCTCCCTTACCTGTTAAGTTGCATACATGTAGGTAAAGCCATTCTCCTAAATAATTGCTAAATATTATAACAGGACAATTTGAGGTTCATTGGGCATGACATCAACGTTACTGGCGTCTGGGAAAACAATATTACAGGACGTGGAGTAGTTGTTTCAGTGATTGATGATGGTTAGTAATATAATAATTATAGAAATTTACTAATGGTTTTCTACCCTTTCTGCCAATTTTTATTATTTCTAAATGACTTGTATTAGGATATATGTATCATTATGCCACTGGTTGAAGGAAATAACTTTCCTCTTTCTTTCAAACCATAATAATTATATGTATCGCTAGGGGATACTGCTTTTTAATGAAAGGTTAAAAGTTTTTCCTCCTTTGAGAAGTGTTTTTACAAGTTGGTTGTATTACTAATTGCTCTATTATCAATAGGAAAAAAAAAAAAAAGTATCAGGGTATTCATTTTCTTTGTTACATTGTAAATACAGAGTAGTGCAGAGAACATTACTTACCCTTACCTTGCCTCTTCATGCTCCATTGCGCATACGGCCTCCACCCTTCTCCTCCAAGCTAACTGCCATCTTAATCAAAGACCATGACCCAACCCCCTACCTGGAGGGCTGGGCATTGCAATTTGTCTTGTCTTTAACCTAAAATCTGTCCAGCATGGTTGTACCCACCTGAACCAAGGTTCCAACTGGAGTAGTATGTGCTATACTTAGGGAGGGCAGGGAACATCAGCTCGGCCTAATTTAATATTGATAAAATTTTTTTCTCTTTTTTCTAGGTGTGGAGTGGACCAATCCAGATATTCTTGATAACTATGTGAGTGTTTTAGTTATAATATTCTGTATACTAATATTAAGAAAGAATAGTGACTGGTAGCCA